CCTCCAATTCCCTTCTCCCCCGAAAAATCGCCGCTCAGAGACGAAGGGGACCTCGGGGATACACTCCCAGGGGCTGTTATTCGCAGGCGCCACTATCCAGGATGACTATCAAGGATGGATTTCCGAGTTGGGCCACATGTGTTGGCCCATCCGAAAACTCCACAACTTCCGGGATTGGGATCGGCATGTCCCCTGTTATCCTTTTGGGGGCGCCCCGAAGGGGGGGGGCGAGGACCCCTGATCTCCGAAGATCTCTATTTTCAACCATGGCGTTCTTCCTCGATGTCTGCCTCTGGTGCCCGTTAAGGCCCAAGGGCCGGTATAGGGCCCAGGGGCTGTTAAGAGATGATTGGGGGAGAAAAACTATCCTCGGGAAGTGGTCGGGACCTCCCCGGGGCCGCGCACTGAACAAACCACATCGTCGGATGTCTGGGACTTCAAGTGTTCGGATATCATGGCGGGGACCACGACATTTCCCAGATCTCGTGGCCACCCTCTCCTCCTTCAATGGCGCCGATGCCCGCGATCAAGGTGGTAACAAGAAGACCTGCTCACATTCCAGGAGCGTCGAGCGTACCGCGTGCTGGGGAGAAGGGAAATTCTGCGGCGCCGAAGGACGCCGCGCCTCAACACTTGCAATTTTGGTGCGGAGTTATCGCAACGCCAAGCGTTGAGGGGATTTTGCTCGCATTGGTTTTGAGGAGCTGCCAAACGTGATGAATGTCGTGGAGCAGGAATTTGTTAAGGAACGGACCGACACTTTTGTGTCTGAAATGCGAGCGCTATTTGCCGGGTGATATCCTTTAGAAGGGGTTGAATGCCGTCTGCCCTAGTTGCCTCGCTCCAGCCCGCATTGACAAAGGAGGTCTAGCTTTGATATATCCCAGGTCGTCGGAGCCATCGAGAAGCTTGCGCCAGGCTTCCTCCAGCTCGACGAAAGTGACAATTATCTTGCGATGTCAGCGATCGGACCAAGTCCCTGAGGAAGCTCACCAGACTGAAGGATAAAGCCGTGAAAGTTGGCTTTAGCAGCTTTGTTAAACAAAGGGGTAACGATGCAGGGCTCAGGAAGTCACACTCTGAGGTGACGTGCACAACGCGCTTTTAACCTCAGTCCGATCGCCCTAGGGACCTGGACAGACAGAGGTTCAAGTGGGCGGACACGCGTGATGCTCGAGCATTTGGTCACGACATTTCCCGCCAACCTCGCAGGTGCCAGCTCGTGGTTTAGAGTGCATATATGCGATGTCCTGCAGACGCGCATCTTGCGCGCGCACGCGGCGCGGGCGGCCAAGAACAAGGGCATGCATGCGGCGACCTTTCTCCGCCAGGCTGCTAAGGGGCGGGAAGGAGGAGCGATGCTGCTGCTGCGCAACCGAAGCGACGGCGTGGTGTGCCCGCACTGTCGCCGCCCGCGAGGCCGCGAACCGCGCCCCCTCGGGCGCCCCATCAGGGCGATGGGCCTCTTGCCATGGGTGCGCCACCCTGGGCTGGACCAGCTAGGCGCGGGGCCGCGTCGGCGAGCTCCCATGCTCATGCTGCGTTGGCGGAAACTGGATCCACGTCCATGGCCGATGCCGTTCCTTCGGCGAGAGGGTGGAGGAGAAGGAGGAGGATGATGCTCCGAAGGCCGATGCTCCGAAGGCCACGGGGTGTGCGCTTTGGGCTGGATGGGCCCCTACAGTCGCCCCCCGTTGCACACGGCCGCGGCACGAGCATCCAGCCGTGACCCCAGGCAGCTTCGTCGGACACATGCTCCCTCCTCCTCACTCCTCCCTCCCCCCCCTCCTTCTCCTCCTCGTCCTCCTCCCTCCTCCTCCTCCGCTTCCTCCTCCTCCTCCCCCTCCCTACTCCTTCTCCTCTTCTTCCTCCTCCTCCTCCTCCTCCTCCTCTTGCTCCTCCTCCTCCTCCTCCTGCTCCCCCTCCTACCTCCCTCCTCCTCCCTCACCTCCCTCCCTCCCCCTCCCTCCCTCCCTCCCTCCCTCCCTCCCTCCTCCTCCTCCTCCTCCTCCTCCTCCTCCTCGCTCTCTTTCTCTTCCCTCCTCGTCCTCTTCTCTCTCCTCCTCCTCCTCATCCTCCTCCTCCACACTCTCCACCTCCTCCTCCTCCTCCTGCTCCCTCCTGCTCCCTCCCTCCCTCTCTCCCTCCTCCTCCTCCTCCTCCTCCCTCCTCCCTCCTCCCTCCCCCTCCCCCTACTCCTCCTCCTTCTCCTCCTCTTCTTCCCCCTCCCTTCCCAAGTTAGGAAGGGACGCAGGGGATAGCAGGGTAGGGCCGCAGCCGCGCGGTACAGACATATGCCATACTTGTGTAAACTGGCATGCACTGCGTGCTGAAACACATATAATCCCACATCTCTTTCTACCTCTTGCTTTCCATCTATTGTTATTGCTATTGCACGCCTCACGGCCGAACCAGCCACTGATCTCCCCAGATCAAGTTGGTAGCGGAGTGGGCTCTGCCATCCGCGGCCCCCCTTTTGGGTTTCACCAGCACAGTCATGAGCCACAAGGGGTTGCAGTACGGATCGAAGGGCAAAGGTTACGGAACACCACCCGGAGTGGCGCATCCTTCGCCTTACCCACGAGTTTTCGGAGTAACTCCACAGCATCCTTGCCCATGGTTTGGTCCAAACATGCTCAAGCTGGAAGCATCGTATCCTTTTCGACGTTGGGTCAAGGATGTTGTGACTTGGAGTTTAGGTTCGGAGGTCCCCGCACACAAGCAACCACACAAAGTAGTATTGTCTCTCACGGGTACCGCCCGACCTATGGCCCAAGAGCTGAACCAGGACTCCCTGACCAACGGCACCGTCGTAGATCTTGGGGACGGTGCAGGCCCTCAAACGTTTCGGGGCTAGGTTTCCTTATCCACGGGTTGTCAAAAGAGCACGGCGGAAGCGATCTCGAACATAGCATCAGAGCAATCAGCGGAATAATGTCGTTCACACGCGTGAATTGGGAAACTGTGGATGAGGTAATACTTCGTTTCGACATTTCGACGTATTGGGCGGACGGGGTTGGTTTTGACATGACCCCCCTGGGAAGAGTTGGTGGCTGTCGCTAGCTGTGCGAGTTCCTGCGAACTTGTGGCCCCAGTTGTTCATGCAAGCTCAGACTGGGGGGAGCCTGCCGCAAGATGATGATGCGTACAAGCGTCTACGACAAACCTTAAAGCAGACATCACACTCCGTTGAAGCTGGCCCCAACAACGCTGCCATGATAATGCAGCTACATCCTGTGACCGCGCAAGGTGCGGCATATATACACGATATTCCCGCACTACCCTACACTGCCACGGGGGAGTGGGGACAACCACCAGGACAGGTAGGACCAATCACCTCCTGACCCCCTGGTCATGTTGGCACCTGGGGTTCCGCCAAGTGAGATGGGAACCCAGTCGGGCAATCCCGAGCCGTGTGAAGAGTGTGGCTCTACATCCGCATGCTCGCATTCTGATGACCCCCATTTCGACACCGGGGCCGCGGGGCTGCCCGCGGGGGCCCCGGTGGCTCACCCAAGAGGGCCCCGACGGGCCCCAATGAACATACTACGTTTGGCATGGGTCCCCGTTGCGCCCCGAGCCCCCCCCCGATCTGGCATGCGTCAAAAATGGCCCCGCGTACGCTGATGGCGGCTCAAAGACGGCCCAAGAGGCCGTCGACGTGCCCCGCGAAGCCCCGGGGAAATCTCCAGGACGGCCCCGAGAGCCCTCGATGCGGCCCCGCAAGCAGCTCAGCGCCCCCTCTGAGGCTCTCAGGAGCTTTTCGGTGGCTCCCGGGGCCTTTCGGGAGCGTTCAGAAGCTTCCAATGGGCTTCCCAGAGGCTTTTCGGGACCTCTGAGAATGCTCGGAGGCCTTGCGGGAGCTCTTCTGTTGCCTTTCGGACGCGCGCAGAATCCGATCGGGAAATCCCAGCGGCCTCGAGAGCTGTCTGAGGTCTCACTTGGAGCTTCCCGATGCCGGTCGGACATTCTCAAAAGCCCCCCGGGGGCTTTCAGGAACCTCTCGGGACGTGGGCGCTCTCAGAAAGGGGCAGCGGTAAATCTCAGAGGCCTCTCGGACGCTCCCAGATATCTCTCGGAGATCTATCGGGATGTCTTGGATGCATCTCCAGAAGCTCACAGAAGCCCTTCCGGGAGCTCTCGGGCCCTCTCGAGAGCTCCCAGGGCCCTTTCAGAAATCCCAGGGGCCTCTCAAAGGCTCGCAGTGGCCTCGCGGCAACCCTCAGAAGCGGCTCGGAACGCGTAGAAGCCTCTTCGGAGCCTTCACCCATTTTCGAAGGCCCTTCGGAAGCTCCCAGAAGTTGTTCGGACATGTTCAGGATTCAACCATTGTCGGGGAGTCTTCTGGACCCCTTCAGAGGCGCTCCGGATTTGTAGGATTTCCTTTGGATTCTTCGGGGGTCCTCAGGAGGCCTCAGGATTCCTCAATCGTCTTCGAGTGCTGTCGCGTCGAATCGGATACCGAAAGGCCCCGCTGGGAATTGCGTAGAATCCGCAGGAACCCGAGTGGCGTTTTAAGGACTCCGACGCGCTTCTGGGAGACAATAGGAGGAACGCGAAACGTTTCCGACGGAATCCTTTGCACATCGTTTGGCGCATGTGAATCTTGCCATCAACCAAGTGCGACTTAATCGTAGTTTGTATTCGATTTCCGTATACCAGCATTGCCGGCCTTCCACAAGTACCGGCCATCGATGGGCGGGGCGCTTCCGGGATGGAAGAAAGGTGTCCGTAGTAGTAGTAGTAGTAGTAGTAGTAGTAGTAGTAGTAGTAGTAGTAGTAGTAGTAGTAGTAGTAGCAGTAGTAGTAGTAGTAGTAGTAGTACTACTACTACTACGACTACGACTACTACTACTACTACTACTACTACTACTACTACTCCTACTACTACTACTACTACTACTACTACTACTACTACTACTACTACTACACTACTACTACTACTACTACTACTACTACTACTACTACTACTACTACAACTACTACTACTACTACTACTACTACTACTACTACTGCTACTGCTACTACTACTACTACTACTACTACTACTACTACTACTACTACTACTACTACTACTACTACTACTACTACTACTACGACTACTACTACCACCACTACGACGACTACTACTACTACTGCTACGACTACGACTACGACCACGACTACGACTACGAGTACGACTACGACTACTACTACGATTACTACTGCTACTACTACTGCCACTACAAATAATAATAGCGTTGCGACTAGGACGGCAACAACGACGACGACGGTTACGACTACGAGGACATATGAGTAGTTCATCAGAAATATTGCTACAACTACCAGTGCTGGTACTACGATTACTGCTACGCCTAGTACTGATAGTACGATTAGCAGTAGTAGTAGTAGTAGTAGTAGTAGTCGTAGTAGTAGTCGTAGTCGTAGTAGTAGTAGTAGTAGTAGTAGTAGTAGTAGTAGTAGTAGTAGTAGTAGTAGTAGTAGTAGTAGTAGTAGTAGTAGTAGCAGTAGCAGTAGCAGTAGCAGTAGTAGTAGTAGTAGTAGTTCTTTTACGATGTACTACTACTGCTGCTACTACTACTACTACTACGAGGACTACTACTCCTACCACTACCACTACCACTACTACTGCTACTACTACTACTACTACTACGACTGCGACTACGACTACGACTACTACTACTACTACTATGTCTGCTGCTACGCATACACATGGTATCTCGCTTATTATGCGACGAGCACTAGCACCATTACTGCAACAGCAGCCTCTACTAGTACTGTTTCTATCACCGCTGATACTATAAATACTATTACGGCTACCATTAACACGTTTGCGATTACTATTACAACGCAGACATTTTCTATTGATACTAGTATTATTGCGACTACTATTACTACGACTAGTAGTGCGACTAGTATCCCTACTGATACCGCGACTACCACGACTATGGTTACTGCTGCTGCTGCCAGAATTCTTACTACTGCTATACCTACAATTCACGGTTACTTCAAGTGTTACGATTGCTACGGATATCCCATGCAAATTCCATTGCGAGTGCTACTGCGAAGACTGCTACAACCACGACTTCCACTAAGACGCCGAATAATAGAACGATTTCTGCCGCAAAAAAAAATAGTACCACAAGTAGTTTAGCCACATCCGCCGCTTCTGCGAATGCCGTTCGATAACGCGGGGCGCATTCGCACGAGACGGGATCGCGACCAATCACACGGAGCCTTATCGAGTGAACCCCGATCACGCTGGGCTTAATCGCGCGCGTGGGACCCGATCGTGCGGGGCTAAATTCCGCGAGGCCCTTCGTGCGAACCTGGGGGGGGGGATCCATGAAACCCTATCGCGCAGACGCTGAAAAGAACATCACAAAACAAGTCAGATATGGTTAAACCAATGCTACTACTGCTAATCTTCTCTTAGCATGCATTCGCAAAGCTTCGCTACTTTATGATCAATTTCGCTACGTTCCGCTAGGTTTCGCTCCGTTTCGCTGAGTGCTCGTAAGTTTCGCTCGGACACGCGCAGCTAGCAGCATCACTTGCGCGATCTGCAAGTATTCTTGCAACTCCCTGAGTGGCCAGGTTCCCGAAGTGGGGCCGAGGCCGGGGCCGGGTTCCTGGGGAGGATTCTTCGTGGGGGTTCGGGGGGGATTTTTTTTGCGCCTCCCCCGCTCCTCCTTTCGCCTTCGTGCTTTCCTCGAAGGATCGAGGAGAGGATCATGCGATCGGCTTTCGCTCGATCGCTACGCCTGGTTCGCGAGTCGCGTGGGAAGAAAGGGTTGTCGCGAGCGCGCTATTCCTATTTGTTTTCGTCGTTTTCTGTCCCGCCGTCTCTCATCCTCAACTCCTTCCTCCCCTCCGTCCTTCGTTCCCCCTCTCCCCCCATCCCCTCCCCGCCCCCGTTTCCCCTTCCCGCCACCTTCAACTGCCCTGTATTAGGTGGCCCGCTCGAAGGACATACTGCCACATGCATGGTGGTCTTGAGCAGGTTTGCTCCAGGGCCTGCCCCCGAAACACGGCATGAATTTCCCGCTTGAGTAATTATGTGTTCCTCCCGCGGCCAGCGTCGCAGTTGGCAGCCGCATCATTTGCCCCGCGCCTTACCCCAGAGGAGCAGTGTTTCATGATAGTGATGCGTTCCACGATTTCCATGGTTTCAAGATTGTCATGTGATGTTCCCCGCGGGCTGCAGAATGGGCCGCTAGAAACTCTGGAATTCCTGTAACGAATCCACAGCCAATCGCATCATGACATTGGTTTCCTCCTAACCCCTGAAAGGAGGAGGCGGATCGGCGTCGAGCCCGGCGGGAAGTGAGAAGGGGCGGGCATTTCCAGAAGGCTGGAAAATCCCTGAGCCCGCTGGGAAGTTCTCTAAGCCTTGCCCGAAAACGCAGCCAGGGCATACCTCGCAGAACGTGCCAGGGACTCTGAGCAGTTCCGCCGCCCTCCGAGAGAAAACCTCCTCTCGTTCGTTCTGCCCCTTTCGCTCGCCGCCGACAGGAGGATGGTCACCACCCACCAAACCACTCCAACCTAACCCGAGGGCCTCAATTTGCCCTCCATTTCCAGTGGGGGGGGGGGTCGGGGAACATTGAGAAAACACACATGCAACCCGAAATTCGGGCCTTCGGGTTGGGTTGGGGTGGTCTGGAAGGTAGCCAGAAGGAGGAGGGCCCTGCGTCCGCCGGCGCAGGCCGACTTGCCCCGCCCGCGGGGCTGACGCGGGCGGCCGGCGCCGCGTCAGCTTCGGGCGCCGCCCCACCAGCAGCGGCAGCAGGCTGCCGCGCTGTCTGGCCGGGCCTGCGCGGCGCCAGGGCGCGCGGCGCGGCGCCACGCCGTGTGCCTCCGGCGGCGGCTTCCGGCGTCGACTGGCGCTCTCGTCGCCCGGGGGCGGCAAGGAGGGGGAATGGGGAACAGGGGGGGTGGATATCATGGCGTGATATTTTCCAGATCTCATGGTGCTTCTTCTTGTTGCATTGTGTCCCCATGCCCCCCCACCCTGGGCCGCGCACGTGCAGCCGGCCATGATTTGCGTTCCCCCCCCCCCCTCCTGGACGTCCCCCTCTTTGCCGCCCCCGACTTGGCGCTCTCGTCGGCGCCCCTTCGATGGCGTGCCCGGCAGCCCCAGCGGGAGGCGACGGACTTTCGCAAGACCACGTTCCCATGGAGGTTTACCAAGGGAGGGAGGGGGGGGCAAGGGACCCTAGTGTGAGCGGTTGTTTCCTTCCTGGGTAACGCTCGTTATACCCGAGCCCCCCACCCCCCGCCTCCCCTGGTAACGCTACCCTTCTCATGCTGTGGCACGTGGTGCGCACAAACAAGTGATGCGCCAGTGGCGCGGACGCACCCTTGCGGGTGCACACCGCGGCCGCTGTTACGGTTACCCGCCCGCCCGACCCCTCCCTGGTAACGACCGGTAGACAGGAAAGAAGAAAACGGTCACCAAGACGACGTTCCTACGGGGGATGGTTAACGGAGGGAGGGGAGGCAAGAGAACCTACCGTCACTGCCGCGTCCAGTTTAGAATCGGCTGGAGGTCGATGCCGCTCTTCGCGCAGGGACGATTTTTTTTCAGCAGCGGAAGCTAGGTGGGCTGCTCTGGAGAAGATAGTCCGGTGCTAGTTCCCTTCCATAGGGTCGAACGCGCGAGCCGCGGCCCTTGCTAGCGCCAGCGGCAGGGGCACGCGGGCCCTGGCCGCTTCCTTCCCTTCTCGCTTCGCCGGCCCCCTCGGCCGCCCACTGGGCCGATCGTGTCGGTCCCGCTGCCTCGTCCCGCCCCGCTGCATCCTCGGCTCGGACTCTTGAGGCGAAGCTGCCTGGTGAGTCAGAGGAGGACACGGTACCCATACCGCTACCCCTGCCTCACTCTTCCCCTTCCTTCGGGCCTCTTGGGCGGGCTGCCCTCGTCGCCACGGTTGTAATCGCCTCGAAGTCCTGGTCAGAAGGCGCACCGGGAAGGGCCTGGGGAGCATCGGTATAGGTACGTACCTGCTGGTCTCCCCCGGTGAGAATGCACAGCGCGTGCGTCGTTGTTGAGACGAGCCAGCAGAGGCGCGAAGGCTCTTCTCGTCGAGGCCGCCGCCATGGGGCGCGGAGGGCTGCAGCAGTTTGCCTCCATTGCCCTGCCCTCCCTACCTGTCGGAGGCCTGGAGGTTGACACCAACGAAAGAGCGTGTTCTACCGCTGCTGGCGGAAAACCGGGGGGGGTCACTACCGGTTCGAACCCCTCCCCCCCCCCCTCCGGAAAACCGGGGGGGGTCACTACCGGTTCGAACCCCTCCCCCCCCCCCCAGTTCATCATGAAAAGGAGGGGGGGTCGCTACCGGTTCGAACTCCCCCCCCCCTCGAACTCGAAAACCGGGGGAGTCACTACTGGTTCGAACACCCCCCCCCCTCGAAAACCGAGGGGGGGTGCGGACAGTGGTGGGGACGGTGGTGGTGGGGACAGTGGTGAGGGGACAGTGGGACAGTGGTGGGGACAGTGGGACAGTGGTGGGGACGGTAGTGGTGGGGAAATGGCGAGGACAATGGTGGGAACAGTGGGGACAGTGGGACAGTGGTGGGGACGGTGGTGGTGGGGACAGTGGTGCGGGGACAGTGGGAATGTGGTGGAAACAGTAGGACAGTGGAAAGTACAGTGGTGGTGGGGACAGTGGTGAAGGCGGTGGCGAGGACGGCGGTGGGACAATGGGACAGAGGTACAGTGGGGACAGTGGTGGGGACAGTGGGGACAGTGGTGGGAACAGTGTGACAGCTCTTGTGGTTCGAACCGGTAGTGACCCCCCCCTCCAGTTTTCGAGGGGGGGGGGGTTCGAACCGGTAGTGACCCCCCCCGGTTTTCGAGTTCGAGGGGGGGGGGAGGGGTTAGGGGAGGGGGGGGGGGTTGCTGAGGGAAGGGGGGGGGTTCCAGCAGGGGGGCGGGGGTTTTTTGGAGGGGGGGGGACCCCGGGTTCCAGAGGAAAGGGGCGGCAATTTTCCACCGTAAAGCGGCGGTGGATCACGCTCTCTCACACCAACAATGTCGACTGTCGGTGGTGTGCTTCCACCGAGGTATGGCGGTTTTGATCTTGGCGATGGCGGCAAGTTCCGGGCTTCCTGGGTGGCCGAACGATGACCACCGGCACCAAAACCTGGGTCGTCTGCCCCTGGTGGCGGCAACCCCCTGTGTTGGTGCTGGTGCCCGTTTCCAAGCCTCCTGCTCTTCTCTTGCTCCCCGCCCTTCCGCTCGTCCGCGGGCTGGCCGGGCCCCCCTCCCCGGGAGGCCCCAGGCTGGCCCCTGGAGGCCCAGACGGGGCCAAGAGCGTCTGAAGCCTCGGCCCTCGACCCTCGCCGGGTCGTGAAGGGCTCCAGGGGCCCGAGCGCGGCGAGAAACGCTTCTCTGTGAGTCCACGCTGGCTTCGAGGGTACGCGTTGCGCGAATGTTCGTAACACGCCGTCGGTCTCGCGGATCGAGGGGCCGTGTGCACGTACATAGCTAGCTGGGCGCCTGCGACCTCCCGGGGGGGTCCCCAGCTGGCACGAGCTCTGCTCTCTGGGCGGGAGATTCCCTAAGGGTGGAGAATCGGCTCCCTGCCCAGGGCTGTCCTCGCGGTCCTCCCCCTCCCCGGCGGCGCCGAGCGCACGACGGGGCGGGGACCTCTCGCCGCGATATGAGCGACGGAAGAAACCAGGGTCGTCTGCACGGACATTGGCCCGCAAGCTGCCCATGTAAGCTCGCAGGCGCTCTCGTTTCCAATGTTGCGCGCCGCGTTGGCGGCCCTTGTAAACCACCGCGCAAGGTCGCTACGGTAGGTTCGCGTCGTGTCGACCGACAGCGACCCCGCCGCCTGCGTTCAACGTTGAACGCCGCCGGTGACCCAGAGTCGGTCGTTGTTGAACGATTGGACGTTTCGGAACCGGCCGATTTTCAAGGTTGAGTGATCCCCGGGGTGTCAGGAACCAACGCCGAAGTCGGCACGACACGAACCTGCCGTATGCCATCTCGCGTCAGACCGTCAGACCCAGGCCAGGGCGTCGCGAACAGAAGCCAGACGGCCTCTCTCGAGCATTCTCATTGGCCGCCCCCGCTTCGGGGATTGGGAGCCACCGCGTAAGACCCGCTTTCTCTCGTCGCTCACGTGAGCGACGCAAAAAAGGTCGTTTGCGCCGACATTGGCGCGTAAGCTGCGCGTGTAAGGTCGTGCGTGCGTGAGCGCCTGCGTCTCCAATATGGCGTGTTGGGCTGGTGGCCCGCGTAAGCCACCGCGTAAGGTCGCTACGTCACCTTGCGTAAGACCCGTTTCTTCTTCGTCGCCCATATGGACTTTTTCAGAGTTCTTGATGTCTGAGGTAGATACTTCGCGTACCTCATTCATACATTAGCCGCGTAACGAATTCTAGCGGCTACTTGCAGCAAGCAGGCGCTGCCACACTGAGCAATACTTTGCTGAATCGCTAGCTGCTGCTCCTAGGTGATATTGCCCGGAAGCCAGCTGACGATAAGATCCGTTGCGTTGTCATACGCCTTTTCCGTGCAAGCTAGCAGCATAGACTTTCATGCGAAAGCGAGGGCGCCCCCGAACAACATTGATTTAGCTTATTTTTGCTCACGCTGTCCGGGCCGTTGGGGGTGAGGAGGCCCTGCCGCAGCTCAAGATAGCGTAATTTCTGCCGCAGCCAGCGGTATTGCGTTGTCCTGTGCTGTTGCGACGCCCTGTGCGATAGCGTAATTTCTGCCTGGCGCGCAGCCGTGGAGCTGTATTGCGACGCCCTCTGCGGCCACGGCGTTTGTGCTCGTGTGTTTTGTACTCAGCGTTGTCTCTCTCTCCCTCTCTCTTTTTTTTTTTTCTCTCTCTCTCTCTCTCTCTCTCTCTCTTCAGGGGAGGACAGACCACCCGGACCCGACACTTGGCGTGTACTAACGGCCCTGGGCGTTTACCAAACAGCTCTGCCCTGTTCCATTCCTTCTTTGGGCGCGCTTACTGCACGTCTTCGCATGTCGAGGTGGTTGCTGTGGGAGTGGAGTTCTGTTGACCTCTCTCTCTCTCTCTCTCCCCGATGTTCCGCCGGGGCTGCGGAGCCGAGGGGCGCCTGGGCGCGGCCCCGCGGCCGTGCTCGCCCTGCGCGTGCCGGCTCCGGCCCCGGTCTCCTGCGCGCCTCGCTCTCCGGCGGCCGAGCGCGCGGGCGCGAGCCTGGCCGGTCGTGGGCGCCGCCGTCCAACCGTGCGGCGGGGGTAGGGAGGATTGTGGAGGAGGAGGAGGATGGAGGAGGAGGATGGAGGATTGAGGATTGGGGAGGAGGAAGAGGAACAATGGCTACACGTAGTAGTAGTAGTAGTAGTAGTAGTAGTAGTAGTAGTAGTAGTAGTAGTAGTAGTAGTAGTAGTGGTAGTAGTAGTAGTAGTAGTAGTAGTAGTAGTAATAACTAGAAGAAAGCGACACTTATACTTTTCGATGTAAACAATATTTACATCATGAATAATAGGACGAGCGCTACTCATAGTCAGCATCGGATTGCCATTACCAGTAGTAAGAAGAATATGAACGAGAACGCCAGTCATACTATCAACTCCAATAATGACATTACTATTTAGAATCAGAACCCGTATCCTTATCAGTAATAACGATACGAGTAATATTACGAATGCTCAGAACACGATTAACAATGGTACCGACACTGGTAACATTACGATTATTATTAGTATTAACGCGACTAATAATAGTAATATTGATATTGCAGGTAATATTAATAACGTTAATACGTCCAATTAATACGTCCAATATTGTTTCTAACAGTAAGGAGTTTGTTAATCAAAGTACTATTGCTAGTACTACTACGTGACAAGACGAGGAGGATGAGAAGGTGGATGAGGAGGAGGAAATGTTAAGAAGGACTGATGAGGAAGACTGTGGAGGAGGAGCAGGAGCAGGAGGAGGAGGAGGAGGAGGAGGAGGAGCACGAGGAGGAGGAATAGGAGGAGGGGAGCAATCCAGGATCTGAGGGGGAGGAGGGTCGAGGATCGATCCAGCTCGAGGGGAGGAGGGGAGGAGAAACCTACTCTGCCTGTTTCTGTCCCTCCAGATGTTTTTTTTCTATCCATTCAGAGGCTCCAGGAGGCTCCCGGAGGCACCGCGTGACACGAGGAGGCCCGAGTAGGCCCCAGGAGGCCCCAGGAGGCCCCAGGAACCCCCAAAAGGCTCCAAGAGGTTCCAGGAGGCTCCAGGATGTCCCAGCAGGCCCCAGGAGGCCCCAGGGGGCCCAGGAGACCCCAGGAGGCTCCAAGATGCTCCAGGAAACCCCAGGAGGCCGCAGGAGTGGTTCCAATTCTGTGTGTGTGTCCGTTTGTTTCATGTGTTCCTATATATTGGGCTTCTCCTTGGGCGCGAATCCTTTGTGTTTTATGTGTGTGTGTGTTCCTATGGATTGTCCCCCTCCTGTGGCTCCAATCCTAAGTGTTTTGCATCTGGTCCTACATATCGGGACTCTCCTCTCCGTGGCGTGGCTGGCTGTCTCATGATCCAGCCACTGCGTGAGATCTTCTGGGCCAGTCAGCGAAGCGCAAGGGCTTCGCAAGGCGTTTGCATGAACACCCATATTCCTTGCCTCGTCATGGATGGAGGGATCGCGTAGCGATTTCGATTGCTCCTATAGATAATGCCTTTCTTGGGGCACGACAATTTGGAGTTTTACGTGTGTTCCTATGGATTGTTCCCCTCCTGTGGCTCCAATCCTAAGTGTTTTATCCTACAGATCGGGACTCGCCGCTGACGCGGAACATAAAAGATTTGCCCTCGAGTGGGCAGGTGCCGTGGCAGAGCTTCTTTTTTTTGTTCAGGCTCGATGCTGCTCCTGGTACGAGCGCGGTGGGGAGGAAATACCGATTTATTCCGTGAGCGCTGCTTATGTTCCAGCCATGTCTGTTTGGTATTTCCTCCTCGTCGGCAGCTGCCGCTTCCTGCCCAGCTAGCGGCCCTGCCTGCCCGACGTGGGCAACATGTGCAGGGCGCCGTTGGCGGTGGGGCGGTGCTCTTGTGCCCTACAGGATGGGCGTCGCAAGTTGCTGCATGCAGGGGCGAAGATTACAGCTTTTACCCGGTACCAGGACGCTGGGTGCAGGGGGAACGTCAGGGTGTGATATCGGGCGGGGCTAGGACGAGGATAAATCCGTTCCAGAGCCTTCCAGACCGCTCTCACAGCGTTCTGGAGCGCTCTGAGGAGGCCGCCGCGCCCGAGACCTCCAGAGCGGCCCGATCCCAGAGATTCTCGGTTCATCCTGACCCGAATTTATCTTTGTCCTGGCTTCGTGTTATGATCGGCCCACGGGGGGATTCATCGACCCCTAAACGCAAATGGATCGCCATCCTGCCAAGGGGCGTGCGGACTCGCCATCGGGGACAGATCGCCAATCTATCGGCCATGTACCGACGATCACCGCACAACTCGGCGGCGAGCGAGGAGGGGAAGGGAGAAGGAAGATGCCTTCTCAGAAGGCGGCGGCGGCGGGGTATTCTAAGCATGCCCTGCGCCTTCTGAGAAGTCTCCCTATGCCTACGGGGAAGGCTTAGGAACCTTCTCAGAAGGCCCGGGATGCCCGACCCATGTGGTACGGCCCGGCCCTTCTCACACTTCCCCCCCCAGGCTGGCAGCCAGCCCTGAGCCAGTCCGCCCCCCATAGTTGCCCCCATGGATGCGCACGTGGCAGCACGACTTGCCAGCGCTCGGCCCCAGTGCGGCTGGCCGTGTGGCCTCCACATGCTCCACACGTGAGTCCAGCCATGCGTGTTCCCGGCTTCCTGGTAGCGTTAAGTCGGGCCTGTCCCTCTACAGGAGGACGATTCAAAAATAATCAAACACTAGTCGGGAGACGATTTTGTTTTATCATTTTTTGTTTTTTGGGGCATGTTTTGACTATTTTTTATTTGTCGTTCAAGCTCCGCCTGTAGGGGGACATGCCCGACCTAATGGTAGCGTCCTCGTCAATGTTTACACATGTTACCTGGGAGCTAGAAGCGTGCAGGGATGCACTGGCTTCGGCCCCCATCGGCTTCACCACCACTTGCTTCTCCACCGTTCCGGCCTCTCCTACGTCCTCCTACCTCTTCCTCCCTCATTCGCAGTTGCATGCGCTGTTTGATCTGTGCTGGCTTGCCGACGCTACTGGGGACCCCCCGCTTTTTTTGTCGATTCGTGTCAGCATGCTTCGCCGCTTTTCGTGATCCGCATGCTGCCCGATGTGGCGACGTGCTCTCAGGGTCGCCCTCCAGTGCGGGAGCCGCTTAGGCAGCGGTGTGGCTTGCAGGCTACTTCTTTGAGATTGCCTGCCCAAGGTGCCCCTTGCTTTTTCGCGCCACCCTGGAGCGTGTGGGGCCATCTGATCAGGAGGTAGGAGGCAGGAAGCGGAAGAAGGTAGTCGTTTTCCTCCCCTGGCTGGTTGGGGCCTGCGGCCTCAAGCTCCAAAGCGGCGCCACGCGCACAGCACAGCCGAACACGGCAATGTCCCAAGGGAGGGGAACGACAGGAGCGAGCGCCATCCGAGCCCCAGCAGGGGAGACGGCCCGACCCCAGAAAGCCCGAAGACCAGAGAACGCGACGAAACACCCCACGAGCAAACGAACGCCCACAGACCTCAGGAGATCCAGGAGGTCCAGGAGCCAACAGTGCCAGGGACGCTGGAGCCTACCGCGGCCCCTGGAGACCCAGTCCAGCAGCCCGCCTGTTGAGCCCAGCCGACATCAAAACGCTCACGGAGCGCGCTACAGTCCTGCCGACGTGAGTGGGAGGCAGAGTGCTGGTCACATGCTCGTCAGCGGCACCTCCCATGCTGCAGAGAGAGTGCCGTGGGGAATTCGACGAGACCCACCTCGAAGCACCAGCGGCGCTGGGCCCCTTCGCCCCCCGCCCGGACGTCATGGCCGCGAGCTCCCCAGTCGCTCGATGATCGTGCTGGTCATGTTGAGCTTCTATAGAACCTGCCGGTCGGGTCCACGAGCGCCTCGACCACCGTCCGCTTGTCGAGCAGTGGCTCCTCCTCTTCGATGTGTCCCTTGCCACCGTCCGCGATGTTTGTCCTGCAGCTTCTCATCCTGCAGGGCACCGTGGGAGCTGGAGCCGACGTTCTCGACGTTATCCTGCCCTCGAGCTGCATCTCGATCTTCGCATTGCCACCGACTTCGCAGCTGCCCCTCGGCTGCAACACGACATCTCTCTTCATCACGATGGGGCTGACGATGCCCTCTGGATCATCATGCAGCACCTTCTTGTCATCGCCTTGCTGCAAGTCCCTTCGGCTCGTACCCAGTCTTCTCGACGTGCGTCAGTGTCGACTCCTTCGCGGTTTGCAGGTGGCTCTCGATGTGCACCAATGTCGGCAGCTTCATGCCCCCGACCTGGTCGACCTCTGCCCAGGTCACTTCTGCGAAGTCGGCCTCTGCACTCACCTCGCTGTTATGTGGGGCCTGCACGATCTCCTGTCCGTGCTGCGCCGCGAGCTCATGCACCGTCCGCGGTATGAACTGCCTGAGATCAGCCCCAACCTCGAACAGCAACGCTCTAAGGTCGTTGAGCCTGCTCCCGAGGAGCCCCACGAGGTGGGCGCCACCGGTCTCCAAGAGAGGGTCCACGCTGCTGCCCTCCTTGGTGCTCATCGATCTCAAGCACGTCCGCGCTCTCTTCTCAGTATCGTTTCACCGACACCCATCCCCATCCTCATGCCCATCCAGACTCCAACCATCTCACCCCCGCAGTTGGGGATACACCCTTCGAAACCCGAGGGGAAACGACCTCTATCCCCATCCAGGGGGCTAAATCGGCCAGTGGGGCCCACTCCACCTCAGCGGGGATAGGGATCGGTTAAACGATGCTCACCCTCGACACTCGTTGTGTCAACGCTCGCGCAGCCCATGCCGAAGCCCCCCACCCCATCGACACTCAGCGGCCCCGCGGCCCCTCGGCCCCTCGGGCCGCAGGTGCCCACCGGGCGGTGTCCCTGCAGCAGCTCCTCGCTGTCCCTCTGCGGCGCCACGTCGGGCTGCGCCGACGTGCCGCGGCAGCCGGGAGGTCTTCGAGAGGCGGCTCGCCAGCACGTGCCCATCAGGGGCAGCGACAGGGGGGTACGCATCGACCCACCATCGCCCATGGATCGCCGATGGGGGCCCGATAGCCCCAACCTGCCCAGGGATCAGGGACGTGCGCATTAGCAATCGGGGGCCTACCGCCGATCCATCGGCGATGTATCGCCGAGTCCAGGTCGATGTCCCCCCCCCGTCCTATGCCAGTCCCCCCCTGTCCGTTGCCCCTCCGCCCAGCTGGGCGGTGGCCGCGGAGAGTGGGCTTCGCCGCCTCGACCTGCCGCCCTCCCGACGGGTGGCCCAGCAGGTGCCTCGAAGCGTCCGCGAGAGTGCGCAGAGTGCCGCGTGCCGCACGGCTCCGAGGCTGGCCGCGGAAGCTGCCGCGGGAGCTGCCGCATGAGCCCGCCCGCTGAGCCTGGCGATCTCCGCGGCCCGCTGCGCAGCGAGGTTGCGCTCGCCTGCGCACAGCCCGCCCAGCGGTGTGGCCCGCAGCACAGCGCGCAGCTCCCTTGGGGGGAGGAGCGCGCGCCCAAGAGGGCTCGGCCGCTGCCTGGCTCGCCCAGCCAGACGGCCCGAGCCGAAATGGCTACGGAGAGGCAGAAGTTGCTGGAGGAGGCAGAAGGTAGGAGGATCGGCGGCGAGCGAGGGGGGAAGTGAGAAGGAAGAGTTCTTCTCAGAAGGCGGCAGGGCCTCTCAGAAGCCCTCGCGCCTTCTGAGAGGCTTTCTGTGTCTTTGGGGAAGGCTTATAGATATCTTCTCAGAAGGTCAGGAGGCCTCCGAGCCTTCTGAGAAGGCTCCCCCCTTCTCACTTCCCCCCCGCGCTCGCCGCCAAAGAAGGTAGGATGAGGCAGGAATCCTGACTTCTTCGGTAGCAAATCGTGGGAGCCTGGTATACCCTTTTAATTCCGACTTTAGCGTGGATTAGTACCGATTAACGTTTGGGAGTCGATGAGACAACGCCTATTTAGCGTCGGCTAGCGTTGGCGTCGATTTAGCGTCGATTAGCGTCGATCTAGCGTGGATCTAGCGTCGAATAGCGTCGATTCGCAAGAGCCGACAAGATGCTATGGGCGGCTCCCATGAGTTGCCACCGAAGACTTCTACCTCTCATCTGCAGCCGCATGCGCTTGTCTCTGGCCTATCTTTGCGGGCACACCGCCGTCGCCGGGGAGCCCTTTGCGGCTTCTCCTGTGACTGCCGCCGGGACGTTCCGCCGCCCTTTCTGACTCGCATGTTTGGCGATGTGGCGGCGTGCGTTCAGGCTGTCCGCCTAGTGCCGGAGCCGTTATTACTCGAGTGAACAAAAGTTGCAGAACACATTTTTGCCAGCGTGGACCCCTAAGCAGTAAGTTGTTGTAGTGCGAATTTGTTAGCTATGTGAGGTAAGCTATTTTGAACGAGTTTTGTGGTGCAATATGTTTGGTACAAGGTCTGTTGTGCAGAATATGTGGTGCAAGCCATGTGGTTCAAGCTTTGCAGTGTCAGATAGCTTGGGTGCAAGCTCGGCGGTTTATGCTCTGTGTTGGAGGCCACGTGGTCCGCGGGCGAAGGAGGAGAAGAAGGAGGAGGAGGGGGACGAGGAGGAGGAGCGAGGAGGACGAGGAGGTGGAGCGAGGAGGAGGAACGAGGAGGAGAAGGAGGAGGAGGAGGAGCGAGGAGCAAGGAGCGAGGAGCGAGGAGCGAGGAGCGAGGAGTGAGGAGCGAGGAGCGAGGAGCGAGGAGCGAGGAGGAGGAGGAGGGGGAGCAGGAGCAGGAGCAGGAGGCGGAGCAGGAGCCCATCTTGCACACGAGGCGCCCCCGAGACGCCCAGGGGGAGGCAACGTGGCTAAACCTCTGCACAACCATTCAGTCACTCCACCGCTACGTCTCTGAGCCTCCGAGATGGGGTCGTGGTGGATGGGCCCGATGTGGAGCCGGGTGTTCTCCACGCTGGCGTCGCGTCGCCGATGAATCGCCGATGCATCGCCGACGTATCGGCGATGCATCGGCGATGCGGCTCGTTGTGGAGCCCGAAGTTCTCTCCACGCTGGTGTCGCCGATGCGTCGCCAATGCATCGCCGATGCATCGCTGATGCGTCGGCGATGTGGCTCGATGTGGAGCCCGATGTTCTCTACGTTGGCGTCGCCGATGCATCGCCGATGTCGCCGATGCATCGCCAATACAACCGCGATGCGGCGCGGTCCTCCGACCCCATCTACTCGGACACAATTTTTTGGAGGCCTCTATTGACGAAACCTCTGCACACCGATTCAATCACTCAAACGCTAAGCAAGAGCTCCGGAGCGAAAGCCCCTCATATGCGAGCAGGTCGGAGGTCCACGCGGATTATATCTTGGGTCGTGGCAAGACCCCCCCCTGGCGGCTCCTCCGGCGCCGTCCCTGGCTGGCACCGCCTTCCAGGGCAAGGAGGTCCAGCGTCGACCCAAGAATTCGGCGCGGACCTCCGACAGAGTTTTTTGTTTGTAGTTTTTACCATCGACCGCAGTGTGCAACTCAGGCTCTTGATCCGGGTGTATCGAAGATTGGGACCTGTCGGAAGGGGCCCCGAGTTTGGGACAGGGTCTCCAGGTTGAGGAGGAGGAGGAGGAGGAGGAGGAGGAGAGGCGATTGACTCTCCACTGTTCAGGCACTCCTCCACTAAAGGCTCCACGTCTCGGGGCCCCACCATTTGAGGTACCGGTTGACGGCTCCGGGTCTGCTTCACGTGGTTTGCACCAAGGCCCGCGCGGAGGCAGCTCCCGCTACTGGCTGCTGAGGTTGGTTGCAGAGGTAAGAAGGCAGCAAGACGCCCCGTCCTGACCTTGCGTCCGCTCTCGCTTGCCCTCCTCCAACCTCCTGCTACGATACTTCATATCTCCTGTCTCCTCCCTCCTTCCCCCTCCCTTTCTTCCCCTCTCCCCCCCTGCTTCGTCCTCCCTGCTGCCTCCTACCTCCTGCCTCCTCCGTCCTCTCTCCTCCCTTCCCTCCGTTTTCGTACGTGGGCGGGTGCGTGACGACGAGGCATGATCATGAGTGATGATGATGGTGGCGGTGACGATGACCACGATGATGATGCCATTAGGAGATGAACATGGTGATGGCCAGAACGATGATGCTTGTGATGACAGTTCTGGTCATGATGGTGAGGAGGGTCAGACGCTCAGACGCGAGGGGGCAGAGTAGCAACGAGAGCGGCCAGCGCCACATCCCGTGTTTCGGCTCCGAGGCCGTGGCCGAGCACGCGCGCGAGCGCGCTCTTCGGGGGCCATCGCTCCCACGCGCCCACGCGCGCCTTTCAGGGGTCAACAGGCGGAGGAGGAGGAGGACGAGGAGGAGGAGGAGGAGGCGGAGGAAGAGGAGGAGGAGGAGGAGGAGCAGGAGGAGGGAGGAGGAGGAGAAGTGATGATAAGGAAGGGCCAGGAAAAGAAGGGGAAGATAAGGGTCGATTGTTTGACTCGGCTGGGCTTCTGGATGCTTCTGGAGGAGCAGGAGGAGGAGAAGGAGAAGGAGGAGGAGGAGGAGGAGCCAGAGGAGGGGAGGATGAGAAATCAGGGGGGGAGAAGCGGAGGCCGACGAGGGAGGAGCAGGAGGAGGAGAACGAGGGAGGGGGGAGGACGAGGGAGGTGCGGGAAGAGGAGGACGAGGGAGTGGGAGGAGGAGGACGAGGGAGGGGGGGGAAGTGGTGGGGGGGAGGACGAGGGGGGGAGGAGGAAGGAGGTGGATTTGCATTGGCCGCTGGATTCCCGGCGCCGCCGCCCCGCCGCCCACGCCATGGGGGTCCGGGAGGCGCCGCGGCCCGGTGGCGGCGCGCAGCAGGCGTCTGGGAGCTGGGCGCGGGGGGTCGATGATCGAGGGTCGCAGAGGGAGGTGGAGAAGGAGGATGGGGAGGGGGAGGGAGCGGAGGAGCACGGGGAGGGGAGGGAGCGGAGGAGGATTCGGAGGATTTGGAGGAGGATTCGGAGAATTTGCAGGAGGAGGAGGAGGAGGAGGAGGAGGATGTGCAGGAGGAGGAGGAGGAGGAGGAGGAGGAGGGGGAGGAAGAGGGGGATGGGGAGGATGAGTGAGTGAGTGAGTGAGAACAATCGCGGAGCGATCCTAGCAATGATCCAGCCATGCTCAGGTCAGAGGGCGATCAACACCATGTACCTGTGGTTGCTACTCGTCATGCATATGCTTGCCATTGAAATAAACATTGCCCTGGAAACCACCACGCCCCCTTCTGCCACGATCAGGATGCCGACAAGCACGAAGAGCAGGAGCATGCGCCAGTTCTTCGAATGTTCCTTCACCCATATTGCATAGCATTCCAAAGAAGTAAACATGCTCAGGTTCCTCGCACAAATTTTCACCATCGTTGCACACCACTCCAGACAGCCCCGAATGCGTCTGCCTTGCGCTGGCCAGGCTCACCCAAAACGGAACTGAAACTCAAATAAAACAAAACACGTCTGCCTTGCGCTGGCCAGGCTCAGCAAACAAAAACGCCGCTTGCCGAGCAAGGAGTAGGCGAGCTTCGTGACATGCGCCGTGATGGGAGAGCGGAGACGAAAGCATACAGCATCATGACAGCAACACACTAGAACATTGACCACCAGATGCACTGTGAGGCTCCGCAAACCGGGGAAGATGAACCCCACGGACATCCACGAACGCCAGACAAATGCAGCAAGATGAAATTGGATTTGACACTGACACGTTTGCCCGCCCTTAGCCGACCCTTGCCTCAAGAAAGAACTCCAGAGTGGCGGATAGCCACACGCACGCGCTTAAGCCTAAAGAAGGATCTACGCGCCTTGGGCCCCTTGTGCTTGGGGGGAGGAGGATGATGAGGAGGAGGAGGAGATCGAGCAGGAGGAGGACGAGGAGGAGGAGTAGGAGGAGGAGGAGGAGGAGGAGGAGGATTTGGACAAGCTAGGTGCGCTCGCGCCATATCTGACGTCCTATCCCTCCCATCACTACCATGTCGTAGATATCCTCCCTATTCGCACAATCGGATGTCGCAACGTGGCATAGCATTACATGGCATAGCATGGCTTGGCGACGCCCCAAAGTCGCGGGTGGCGTCGTCGGCCCAAGCAATCAACGCACCGTCACCGAATATGTGAGCATTTCCGATGTTTTTTTTCCGGGCGGGGGGGGGGCATGTTCTAGATGCTGGGGCCTATTTGGAAGGACCGAAAACCATGCCGTGGCATGGTACTGGAAATAATGACGCCAGCGCCGCAGCTGGAGCACTATTCGGGACGAGCGGCAACGCGGAAATGAGGCCAGCGTTGCCGCGGGAGCACGATTCGGAACGAGCGGTAGACCGAACATGAGGTCAGCGCTTCAGCGCGAGCAGCATTCTGAACAAAAAACCGCGGAAACGCGGACATGAGGACGCGTAGCCTAACATAGCATGGCGTGGCGACGCCCCAAGGTGTGGGGGGGGGGCTTTTGCAGCCCCAACAATCATTGAATCGACTCCGAATGTGTAATTATTCCCTCGGGGACATTTTCTTAGATGTTGGAGCCTATTTGGAAGGACCGAACCATGCCGTGGCATGGCGCTGGAAATATTGACGCCAGCGCTGCAGCGGGAGCACGATTCGGGACGAGCGGCAGCGCGGAAATGAGGCCAGCGCTGCAGCGGGAGCACGATTCGGAATGAGCGGTAGCCCGAACATGAGGCCAGCGTTTCAGCGAGAGCAGCATTATGGAGACAAGCAACCAAGCGAAAACCCAACTCCCAGGAATCCCGTGGATAGGAAACCAGTGCGCAGAGGGGGGCCGAGTATTTCCAAGACGTCACCAGGGGAGAGAAGAATAGTATTCATTGTGCGATTGTGGAGGAGGAGGAAAAGGGGGAGGAAGAGGAGGAAGACTCCGTAGCCATTTTGGCTCAAGTGCGAACCACTGGCCCTGGTTGCTCGTGCTTGTGCGCAGCCCAGGGCTTGGCTCGAAGGCCCCCAGTGTTTGGCAACAGGTGCCAAAGCGTGTTGTCGCCCTCGCATGTTTATGGCCCAACCCACGGAAAAGCAAACTCAATGGCGGCTGGCGGGACGATTGTTGGGCTTGGCCCAGCAAGAGGTGTCAGACGCGTGACAATTGTGCGTGGCGGCGAGAGTGCTACATCTGTGGCGCGGCAAGGCCCAAGGCGCCAGCGGTGGTTCGTCCTCGGCCTCCTGATGGTGTTTTGGGCGAGCGTGTGCTTCCCGACGATGAGTTCGCGTCTTGGCTACAGCTGGACGAGGACACCTTCTGTGCTCTCATGGCCTCCCTGTCCCAGTCGCAGCGGGAGAAGCTTCTGCACCGCCGCGCCATGGCCGCAGCTGGGTTGGCTGCGCCCGCCATGGTGGCCGCGCAGGCGTCGCAGGATGTTGGTGCCTTGACCTCCCAGCTCCTCGCCGCATGACGCCAGCCGCGGCTGGACAAGGCCCAGGTGATCGCGCAGGTGGCCATTCGCTCACGCGGTTGTTGTCGAGGAGGAGCTGCAGGCGCTGCAGACCAAGTGCGACGATGCTCGGGCTCGAGCCGCGGGGGCGCTCGCGGGGACCCAGGCCCCTTGCCCTCCCGCGCAGCTCCAGGCCGCGCACTCGGCTGGATGGCGTGGTCGGAACGCTGGCGGCGCAGGGTGGCCAGGCGGCGCAGCTGGCTCACGCGCTCGGGGCCGTGCAGCAGGTGCTCGCCACGCTGCTCCCGGCTGTGGGCCTTGGTTCCGTTTGCGGGTGTCCCCGCGGCGGCCGCGCCCCCGCAGCAGGCCGCTCTTGCTGGCGCGGGCGCGGCGCCCACCGCTGGCGGCGCGGCCCCGGCGCGGCCCCAGGCAGCTCGTCTGGTGTGGCGCCGCAGCCGATGGACCTGCAGATGGCAGCCTGGCGACAGGCTCACCATGGTCATCCAGCGGGTGCGGCGCGGGACGAGTCTGGAAACGTTGAGGACGTGGAGGTTGTCGGCGTTGATCCAGGCATCGTGCAGCCCGTCTTCGGCGACCTGCCAGGCAACCCCCAGCACGCCCTGGAGGTTCGGCGCGGTGCTGCGGCTGTTCGCAGGCTCGAGCTCCCGCCCCGGGCCCAGGCAGCCGCCGATGCAGCTCTCGATGGTGCCGCCGCAGCTGGCGTCATGCGGCGCCGCAGCCGTTCGCGAGCTGACCAGTGCGAGACCGCCTCAGCGCTCGCGGCAGCGGGGCGCGACGGCGGGGGCGGCGCAACGCATGGGTGGCAGCGGGGGCGACTCCCTCGGCGCCGACGCCGACCCGATCAGTGTCCATAGACGGCATGCCCCTAACCATCAATCGCGAGCTCCAGTTCAATCTGGCCGCGAGGAGCGGGTCGCACAACCTGAGCGGCATTGTGACGGCGGCTGCGCGGACGCGGCAGCCCCCGCGCGTTGTGGCCGATGCCCGCTTGTGCGAGCTGCTGGCTTGGACTCAGAGAGGCGTCCCCTCGGCGAGCTCGACATGGACCTGGGCGACGTGGACGGAGAGGTCGACCTGGTCGGGGTCGTGGGCCGCGTCGGGTATCGCCCGAGCTCTGGCCCGCTCTTCGGGGAGCTCGAGCACGGACCTGGCCCGCTCCTCGGGGGGCCTACTGCGGTGCGGGCGCGCGCGGAGCATGGCTCGAGCACTGGCCTGCTCCTCGGGGGGCTCGAGCATGGGCCTGGCCCGCTCCTCGAGGGCCCTTCGGTGCTGGGCGAGGGCGCTGGCGTCAGATCGCAGTGCCCCGTCGTGCCACTGCGGCTACCAGGCTCAGTCGCCACGGGCGTCAGAGCGCAAAGTCCGGGCGTGCCATTGCGGCTGCCATGCTCGACGCTGCCACGGGTGCCTGTGCTGGGTGCGGGCGCTGCTGAATATGATTCGAGCTCTGGCCCGCTCCTCGGGGAGCTCGAGCGCGGGCCTGGACCGCTCCTCGGGGGCCCCGCTGAGTCTGAGCCACCGAGCGGACCTGGCCCGCTCCTCGGGGTCGCGCTGAGCATCGCTCGAGCACTGGCCCGCGGGCCGGGGTGCTCGGGCAGGGGGCTGGCCCGCTCATTGGGCCCCTACGGCGGCGCGCGTGCGCTCAGGCCCGCTTCTCGGGGAGCGCGCGAGGGGGCCTGGCCCGCCCTCCGAGGCAAACCGCGGGCAGGCCACCGACGCCATGGTCGACGTGGTGGTCGTGGTGCCCGTGGGCCCGCCGCGCGCCGCGAGCCTTCGGCTGGGGGCTGCCGCTGGCGCGAGGCGCGGGGGGCGCGCCGCTCCCGGAGGGGTAGCGCGGGCGGGGCCCGACCGCCTCGACGGGCGGCGCGATGGCCGGGGGGGTGGGGGGGCAGCTCCCCGAGCGCCCTGCGGCCCCCTCCTCAAGGCAGGCGCGGCTACGAGGCCGCGCCGTGGGCGGCGCCCAGCGGGCGAAGGTGGATGCGGGCGCGAAGCGGCCCAAGGCGGCCGCGAAGGCCTCGCGAGCGGCGGGGCGCCGGGCGTTCACGACCCGCAATGCCGCGAGCTGGCGCGGCTGCCGGCGCTTCCTGCAGTCCGAGGCCGAGGGGGCGTCGTGATGCTGCGGGAGATCGCGGCGTCGGCCGTGGGTCGCGGCGTGGCCGAGGCGTCGCAAGGTCGGATGGGAGACCAGCGCGGCGCCGAGCCGCGACGCGGAGGGGGGGCTTTCGAGCGGAGCGGCGGCCGCTATTCGGCCGTGCCTCGGTCTCGCGGAGGCCCCCGTCCCGAAGCGCCCTTGGCCTTCTCTGAGCGGAATAGCTTGAAGTAGCTCGACGGCCTTGTCAGGGGTGTGCTGACGGGCGTGTCTCTGGGGGCGGGCTGGACGACGTGTCCTTCGGGGTCCTGGAGCAGCCGGGCGAGGCCTTGAAGG